CAAGGCCCTGAGGTCTCTGATCCAGAATTCTCAGGAAACAGATATAGAGATACAAATGGCTAAGTAGGACTTCCCCTCAGGGTCTCTCCCCGAGGGCGGGTGCAGGACTTCCTTTTGGCTGAGTCTGCCCACTTCTCTCAAAAACCTGGGGCTCCTCTGGCTCCAGCTGCAGAGAATGTCTGAGAGCTCGTGCCCATTCCTCCTTGGGGAGGTCAGAGTAAAGATGGCAAAATGGAACCTGCCGCTTTTGAACCGGCCTAAGGCGGGAAGGAAACCCAGTTAGGAGGATCGCAGTCCAGTGCTGCTGTTACCAGATCTTTCTCCACCGTGGTTCAAGTCCATCCCTGGTAATTTTAGGAAAACTTAAGATCATTCTTTTTTTAAAAAAAGTGTGTTCATTTGGTATCCCAGACCAGACCTTTCCTTTGTCATTGGGATTCATTATTTTATCCTGGGACACCTTTCAGAGCAAATAGGGAGGTGGGATGCAGTGGTGAGATGTGCAGCCATACTTGCTTCGCTCCTGAGGCCGTATTTTAAACATTGCTGCATTAAAAACAGACAAGCATGGAATCTGCCAACTTCTAGTTCCTCAGGCGTTTGTAACTTGCGGACACACTGACTGAACACCCGCCCAGGTCGCCTGCCGCGTTAGCAGAAGCAGCTTACCACGTCATCCTCGGTCCACGCGCTAATCTCAAAGGAAGGCAGCAGCTGCAGGGGAAACAGGAATGAAATAGAACAAGCATATTATCATTGTCCCTTTGGGTTAGCCCCTTGTCTGTCCCAGCTCCCGGCTGCTGCTCTGGTTGGTTCCTCCTGGCGGTGAGGTTGAATGGAAAACAAGCCTCCTGACCGGAAGAGGAGTTTTCAGGGCTCCACGGATTTTGCCCACAGAAGCCAGCCAGGTGCAGCCACCTCTCTGTAACCATTCACTGGTCTCTGTGAGCTGCCGGGGCCAGACTCAGTACATCCTGAGATTTTTTCTCTGTTCGGACGTGGCACACCAAGTCCTTTCATACCCCACAATAGGGCTTGGCAGTCAAGGAATGTCTGGCATTTGTCAGATGCCAGGGCGTTCTTCGGAATTCTCAGTCAACATGAGGATCGCTTGATTATTAATGAAAATTCCAAAGCGACCACTTGGTAACCAGACCACTCATGCTTATTCTTACAGGAGAATGTCTAAGTGTTTAACTCAATGTCTTGCTTGCATTATATTAAAAAAAACAAAACCCAAATATGAGGAGACAGGGATGAAGAAGGACAAGCGAAACTGTAACCGCTCTAAGCAGCCAGGCTGCAGGGCGGTTCTAACTAAAACAAACAAAACTCCCTCCCTGTCCGGTGGGCAAACAGGAGAGGTCACTTCGCAAGAGGACCTCAGTTGGCACCATTTCAGAGCCAAAAGGCTACTCCCTTCAATAGGTGCCTCGTGGCCATAGACTAAGAAATCCTCTATTACCTGAAAAACCCCTGGGTCTCCTGTGACTTGAATTAGAGTTTGTTAGAGCCGCCAGCTTTAACTAACGTAACTTGTCAAAACGGTTGAACTGCTCATGAGATGATTGTAGCAAGGTGCTTTTTAACCTCTGTTACAAATATTTTTTGTGTGGGTGAGCTGGAAAAAAGCCGAATTTGGTTATTTTTAGTATTAGTGTTAAAAGTCAGAGGGTGGGTGAGTTAATATTTTAACCCGCAGGTGTTTTGAACTCACAGGTTCAGACCCTGCTCGGAAAGGCATGGCTCTACCAGGAGCTTTTCGTTGAAATGGGGGGAGGGGGTAAAATAGGTATGAATTACACATGGAGGATCAAGGACACCCTCCTCTTGGGTTACTCAGTGCCTAGCCCGGTTTCTGGCATACAGTACCTGGTAAATTTTTGTTGAACAATTTGTTGAGTGAGTAACACTGAAGGCTGTATTTACTAAAAGGCTAAGTTCTCCGGTGTGGAGTTCAGTGTCTATGGGTATGCCAGGGAAAAGGGAGGCTTTCACTGACTAAGATGGGGGAATGGAAGGCATAGTGGCTTGAGCTGGGCACTGCAGGGCCAGGAGAAGAGGAGGTGAGGAGAAGCAACAGGGCCAAGCC